AAACACATAGGAGTGGAATTTCATGGTCTTACAGTGAGTGTGTGTTTAACTTTATAAGAAACTGCCAGATTTTTTCCAAAGGTGGTTGTACCATTTTGCATTTTCATTAGTATGGGTTTCAGTTGCTCCACGCCCTCATCCAACTTTGATGGTGGCGGTCTTTATAATTCTAGTGATTCTAGTAAGCATGTAGAGTGTCTCAGTGTGGCTTTGGTTTGTGTTTCCCGGACAGACAATAAGCTCCTTAATCACTGGCAATTCATATATTTTCTTTGTGAAGCGTCTATTCAAATCTTTTGCCCATTAAAATTTTCTTTACTATCTTGATGTTTGGGGCAGTCCTGAAAAACAGATTTCTGTTCTATTTTTAAGTATCGCTAGGACAGGAAATTTTAATCTTTCTTTGGTATTGCATAACTACTAATTGTATAAACTGAACTGACTTCAGATTACTGTCATTTAAGTCCACTTCTCTTGCTTACTCCTCAGAGTTTAAACAAAATTTAGAGTTAATTTGTGAGTACGCACTTATTTAGGATATGTTTCCATGTATACAGAGATTATTTCATGAATAATATGCCTTTGTTTCCTCCTTTTCCTTGGTATTCTCGATCTGTATGAAAAGGATAACAAGGAATAATTCAAACAAGTATGAGTTTATTGCTGTGTGTGTCCACGTCCAACCACTTTATTGACGAGCGAAAGAACAGGGCTCTTCTTGCTGGGAGGAGCAACACCCCACTGCTTAGGAAAAAATGTGTGGTTATATTTAGGATTCACTTTTTTTCCCGAGGATTAAGAGCTGCATGTAAGCAGCCTTGATCCATGCAGGAGGCTAAAAAGGCTCCTAAAGCCCAGTTTGTAAAAAAAAAAAAAAAGTTCCCCACAGACTTGGTAGGAACTGGGGGTGTTAGGAGACCTGGTTGCCCTTAACTATGTTGAGGGAAGAGTCACGTTCAGAGATGCAGGCATCTATGTTGACCAGCTGTCTCTCATCCTGTCCAGGGAGGGGCAGGTGCGTAGGTGTTTTCTTCTTTAACTTATCCTTTGACAATCCTGCAGCATGCATTAGATTTATAGATTTTTAGCAGCAATGTTTGGGGGGCAGGGAGGGAAGAAAAAAATTTTTTTGCCTTAAAATGTGTTTAGGTTCAATTTTAAAAAGGGAGTAATTAGGAAAAATATGAAACTCTTACTATAGATTTCTAAGCATTAGAGTGATTTTCCATGGGCCATCATACAAGAAATCAACAACCCAAAGGAATTTGCTATCTTGATTATGGACACACACACACACACGTATACCACCTTCGTTCCTATTTCAATTCTCAGTGCATTTTTGAACAATGAAAATGCTTCAAGTAACCATCAACAATGATATACTTTCCCCTTATGTACCCTTTCATTCTCTGAGAATCAAAAGGCAAGATCAGAGGCCAGATTCAAAATGAGTAGTCTACCACCTTCCACTGGTTTTCTCCTAAATTTCTCCTTTTGAAAGGAAAGTGGGGAAAAAAAAATGACCAAAAGTTCTAACCTTTATCCTATTCTATTTTCTATCCCAAAAGAAGTATATTTTTGATACTTTTCTCCAGTTGTCCTAGATTTACGAATCTAGAGCCACAACACAGCATAGTGGCTAAGAACATAGCCTCTGAAGCCTCACTACCTGAGTTTGAAGCCCTTCTCTACCATTTACTAGCTGTACGACCTTGAGTAAATTACTTAGCCTCTCTGGACCTCAGTTTCCTCTTCTGTAAAATGGAGTAAAAAGAGAACACCGGTAATTATAAATTTTTATAGTTTGAAAGGTAGGCATAAATGACACAAAATGATAAGGAAACACCTCAATTATTCAAGATTTGATTGTCCAGGTTGCAGATTCTCTAGGCTAGGTACACCAGGCTTTTCAGGAAGAATTTAAAAAGTGCTTTCAATTAGGTTAAGTACAAAGCACAGAATGTTTGTGAGAGCTGGAAGGGGGTGGGGGGTGGGGCTGCTTCTCCAGCCTCTCACAGTTGGAGCCCCCAAGCCTCCCCTTTTTTCTCTTCTATATTAACTCTTTCCCCACAGGCTCCTACCCTCAGCCTGCAAACCCTCTCAGACTGCCTCCTTTAAAAGTCACCTTCCCAGCCCGGCCAGTGTAGCTCAGTGATTGAACATCGACCCATGCACCAAGAGGTCGCCAGTCAGGGCACATACCCAGGTTGTGGGCCAGATCCCCAGTGGGAGGCATGCAGGAGGCAGCCAATCAGTGTTCTCTCCCATTGGTGTTTCTCTCTCTCTCCCTCTCTCCCATTCCCTTCCTCTCTCTCTCAAATCAATAAAGAAAAAAAAAAGTGACCTTCCCTCACAAATGCTGGTAATATTAAGATAATAAAACAGCATCAGATGTTACATAAAGTAGGCCCTCGAATAATGTCCTTTTGTTCAACGTTGTTTTGTTGTAACATTGAGATGCTGCTGGAACTCAACTCTCCTTTATATCAACCAGCCTCTGGTAAAATTGGCTTTGTTATACGTGGTTTCACTCAAAGTCGCAGAACCTATCAATGACGTTAAGTGAGGGCTTAATGTGTTATGATCACATGTATGCTAAACAAAACAGCACAAAACTTATTCTAGACTAGAAAGAAGATAGAAGAAACACTATAGAAAATGTCTTCCGAGGACAGTAACTGGGTAAGTGTCACTTTTCTAATTTTCTGTGAGTTCTACACTTTTTTTCGTTGTGAGGTATGGCATGCTTGCTACTCAGTGTTGTCCTTGGACTAGCAAAAAACACAGCACTTGAGAGTTTGTTAGAAACAGAGAGTCTCAAACTTATTAAACCAGAACCTGCATATTAACAAGATCCCCAAGTGGCTCATATGTATTTTAAAGTTTAAAAAGTGCTGTCTACAACAATTGTTCTCAAACCCGGCTATGCACTGAAATCACCTGCAGAAATACTGACACTTGGGTTTCAGCCCCAGAAATAACAATATAGTTGGCTGGGGTGAAGTCTGGGCATTGAAGTTTTTAAAAATCTTAGGTGATTCTGTGAATATGAGACCCACTACCTGAATACTGTACAGTGTTCTCAAAGTGCAGGCCCAGCACTCTCAAGCACCTGTTAGAAATGTAAATTCTCAGGCCCCACAACAGATCTGACAAGATAGTTGAAATTAGCCCTCCTAGTGATTCTAGTGCACACAAGAGTGGAGAACCTGAGAAAGTTGGTCTGAACCAAAAATTTGCACTTCTTGGTTTCCAGGTGCTGCTGCTGCAGGTCTGAGAACCATATTTAATAGAATCACTGGCCTAAAACCTCTGTTCCACCTTTAGTCTCAAATCACACAGGTGCTTAGATCAGAGCCAAGCCTGGAATCGCGGTTTCTCTTCAAGTACAACCTACCTATCTGCTGTTTCTTTCTAGATCTGAGGCCTATATGGTCCTCTTCAACCTTCACCATATATGCAGGTGTTTTTTTTGGTTTTGTTTTTTTAAATTCAGTTCAGTATCTCGTACTCAAACTATGCCTCTTTGTTCTTCTCCAGAAACCACTCACACTAGCTATCTACAAATACTCCAACTTCTACCGAGCTCTGTCCTTGTGTCAGCCACTCCTCCTCAAGGAAGCCCTGCCCGCTCCTATTCATCTAAGGGTTCAGTTGTAGCCTTGCCCATGAAATGCCCCCTCCAGGCTTGAGGCCACTGATTTCCTCTAAGTTGCAAAATAACCAGGGTTCTGGAGCCAGGGCCTTCAGAGGCAGATGCCCACTAGCCTTGGGATCTTGCAGAGGGTTGCTTTCCTTTCTAACGTGCTGCCGTCAGACCTATTCCCTCCACGAATGGAGGGTCTACTGCCATACCAAGAGCAAGTGAAGCCAGGGACTAAGGGGGAATGGTAAGGGGTCAGCTCCCAGCTGGAGAGGGGGGACAGTGACTGTCCCCGCTTTAGGTCCTGCCTCCTCTATCCTGAATCTTGTTCCCTTATCGACTTTCAGAAACCCCGAAGAATAAGAATCTGCAAATCAGCTTCTAAAATATTCCACACTTTCCCCCCAAAAGGGGGCGAGTGTGTGTGTGTGTGTGTGTGGAGTGGTGTTGTCCTGGGATTCACTGGGGTGGAGGACGCTGCTCCCTGGAGGAGGGCTGAGCGGGAGATGTCAACTGCCCCTCCGTGGTTAAGTCCCAAGCAGCCCAGAGTGGTGCTGGAAGCCCGCTCTTGTGGCCGGGGGAAGGAGGGGTGTTCGTACGTCCCTGCAAAGCGCCGCTCCCGTGCGACATCGTAAAGTCCTAGGTGGGCACACAGGCGGTGCACCCCCTTTTATGACCTCAACAAGTGACATGCAGAGTCGATGTCACCGACTGCCCTCCACCTGCTCTTGGTTTCCTCCGTGCGCGTCTCTCGCCCTCCTTATATCCTTTTCAACCACAGCAGCAGAACTGGCGTGTCCCTGGTGGCGCAGCGCACTCCCTAGCGCTTCCAGAGCTCGGTTCTGTGGCGCAGCGCGGAGAGAGGGCTCTGGCCCTAGGACCAAGTAAGATACAGATCTGAGGTGTACTCGTTGGCGTCGGGGAGTGGCTCCGGCCGGCGGCCCCTAGGTGCACCTGCCCCCAAGGCGGAGCGGGGCGGGGCAAGCCGGCGGCAGGTCGCGGCCCAAACGCTGGAGGGGGCTGTGGCTCTCCCGCGGTGCCCGCGGCTCCCGCTGCACGGCGCCCAGCTCCCCCCTGCCGAGGGGCCGGCCCAGGTCCGGGGAGGGGCGCTACTGCCTTCACTTCCCGCTCCCGGCCTCGGAGGCGGCAGGTCCCGCGCGGGTGCAGGGCTACGGGCGCTAGGCTGGGGCGCGGGGCGGAGACGCGGCCACCTCCTGCTTTGCGCTGCTCTTCCCTGCCACAGAGGCGCTCGGCCTGGCGTCCAGGCGGCCATGGCGACCCTGAGCACGCTCCCCACCCACCCTGACTGCTCCGCCCTCCCCTCCGCCCCACGCCACCTTTGATGGCTGGACCTCGGCCGGCCACCGCCAGCCCTGCTCGCGCGCTCTTGCCTCCGCCCGCGGGTATTAATAGCTGAGCGCCCCTGCTGCACGCACAGCCCGAAGCCGCCGCGCCCTCTGCAGCCGGGCCCGGAGCTGCTTAGCCGGGAGGCCGGGAGTAGAAGCCGGAGCCGCCGGCGCCGTGGAGGTAGGAGGCGCTCGGGGAACAATGACCGCGGTGGGGCGGGCGGGCGGCAACTTGTGCGAGTCCGGGAGCCTGGAGCTGACCCACTCGGGGCGCGGGTGGAGGTGGAAGCGTGGCCCGTGGGGTCCTTCACAGAGGAGCCGGGCTGCGGGTGGAACCCGGCTTCCCCAACTAAGGCGGGAGTGTCGCCCGCCGGGCCCAGGCTGTCCCCGCAACAATAGCGGGAGCTCGGGGCCTCCGGGCTCCACGCCGCCCTTTGCACCCTTCTCATCTCTGCGTACTCAGGCTGCCGGGTACTCAGGCTGCCCGGCTCCGCGCGCGATCTCTGCCTCCCCCACGCCCCGCGGCGCCCTTCCCCCCTCTTCGTCCCATCCCTTCCAGCGCCGTGACAGCGCCGGACGCTGCTTCCGGACCTCTGGCAGCAGTCTCGGCCCCTGAAGCAGATTGCGGGTCGGGAAGGTGGCCGCTGGCGGGGGTGCCACTGTGCTCCTGGGTGCCCGCAGCTCGCCCACGCGCTGCGCGAGGATCTCGGTGGGTGACAAAGAGGAACACACCCTCTGCCTAAGTTAGATTTTGCCTCTCTTTACCTTCTGCCTTTATGGAGAGCAGAGGTTTTTTTCCTTTTTCTTCTTTTTTTTTTTTTTTTTAAAGCAAAGGGCACAGATTTTTGTGGTGAGCATTTCAAAACTACTTCTGATTGTGGTTTTACGATTTAAGTTCCGGAAACTTTAGCTGTGTGATCTGGCCAGACCCTTGAGTGTGCATGTGTGTTTTATTTGAGGGGGGAAAAAACGAGTTCACCATAATGAGTCTGGATTTTTTTTATGGCAGTTGGAACCCAGGGGCTGTTGGGGTCTGTGCAGGGTCCCCCAAAAGAAGAGAGGTGAGGCTCACAAAGAAACGAGGACCATAGTACCACATCAACCCCTTGAGATGTGGAGAGATTTCATCTCATCTGGAACAGTTTAGCCCGTCTCTCTGAGCCTTCTGGAGGACCATGGTGGCCTCTGGCTGTTTCGTTTTATTATTGTTGTTAATGTCTTTCATGCTAGTTTCCCAGGTTTGACTTGCTCAGCTTGGCCCTGCCCTGTTTCCTTGTTCGCCCTGAGCCATGGCTTTTATGGACCCTCATCTCCTTCACTCCGCAGACAGTGCCACCATCACCCTGCTCTAGCTTTGGGTTATGTTTAATGTGCTTTGCACGTGGTGTCTTGCCAAGCCCATTTCAGAACATCCTCCAGCATTGTCTTGCTTTTCTTATTCAGTCTAAACAGGAGAGGAGGAAGAAAGGCCATTTGAGTCCTGAGAGCTTTGGGGGAGTTGCCTTAAAATCTGTCTCATTGTTTGGATCAGGTGGGGTTTTCTTAAGTCTTCTGTCTTTGGCTTTGCCCCTCATTCCACAGCCTTCCTGCTTGGGGTTTACCCTCAGCCTTTCCAAAGGGTTGGTCTTCTGGGTATGACAGTTTGTGACCATGTACTTCATATGTGGGTTCAGCATCCACACGGCTCACTTTATATTCCTGCAGCATCGTTCTGCAGCAAGGCACCAATATTGGAGTTACTCCAAGCACAATGAAATGTTTGTGTTTTTAGAATGTCTGCCTAATAGATCTGCTTCTGGGTAAAATAAATAGACACATTATTGGCCAGTGGCTGGCTTGATGAGTGAAGTGTTAGGGGAGATAGTGATGCCTTTCCAGCCCAGCTCTTCCTAGAATCTCTTGTTTCTTTTATGTGGATGGGAAACTTGAAATACTTGGTGATGCTGTAGCTGTACCCCCTAGGTCACAAGTTCTATAGCAAGCCCCCTGTGAGTTGGGTGTGGTTTTTCATTTAGGAGTTCTGTCCCTGCAGGGATTCTGGTGTTAGGTTTATAATGCCCCTTTCACAGTCACAGTCTTTTCCTGGAATTTATATATGGATTTAATTCCTTGGGTCATAAAATAATATTAATGCTACTCTATTGCCAAATTTATCAAAAGGAGATTTAAAAATCTATCCTAGACAATTTTCTTCTGATTTATGTCAGTTGTTTAATAAGTGAGACTATAAGGAACCCAGGTGAACATTTTTTGTTTTGCTTTTCATGAAGGAAACTGTCCAAGGAAATGGCTTTTTAAAAATATAAGAATTAAATAGAATATTGAAAAAAGAATTTTTTTCAAAAAGTGGAATTCATCCTCTAGCATTCATTGAGCATATAGAAGTGTTTAATTCATTTGGAAAATGATACATATTTGTGAGGAGGGTGCTTTTGCTAAAATCAAAAGAGTAAACCCTTTTCCATTCTAGGGGAGGTAGAGAATACTGGAGAAAAGAGAAGAGCCTTGTGTTTGCTTGCTGAACGCTCTTTAGGAAAGCTGGCATTGTGAGGGGATGAGGGAAGTTTTATGGATTCATAGGTACCTGGCTAAGTGCTTTGACAGCATGGTATTCAGGGCATTTGAAACAACCCTTAGTAACTGGCCTTGCTTGTTGCAGAGAACTGCCTAGTGCTTTGAGGAATGCACTTTCCTCTATAACTGAAGATGCTACAGATAAGAGAGGGGCACATATAAACCCAAAATTAAGTTGCTTGAGTTCCTGTTTAGATGCACAGGTATTCAGGTGTTGGTTACCAATGCCTGGGAGCGGAGGAGGGGGTTTGCGGGGTCCTGTAGCTGTCTGTCTCTCTTCTATTGTTTTGTGCTCTCTATTGAAAGGAGGGCTCACTAAACCTGGGAAGTGGTGGATCAATTTCTTTTCTTGCTCTTGAATGGTTAGAGTTTCTGCTGTGGCCTCACTTCATCATAGTCCCTGCGCCTCTGTTTCCGCCAGGTTATTGTGTTAACCACTTCCACATGTCCAGGGAGAGCAGAGCCCAACAATTTCTATCCACGTTGCTTGAAATACTGATTTCGTCAGTCCTTTTATGCCAAATGCGACTTTTGTTTTTGATCAAGAAACCCCCAGAAAATGCTTAGTACAAAGTAGGGGAACTGGCCTTTTATAGGCTGCCCTTGTCCTGGTTTAAGTCAGTTAGCAATCTTTTGCCTAGTGGATACTTTTCACAAAAGTGAACAATTGATATATAATAAATACAGTTCTCTAAGTTTTTGATACTTGTGGTTAAACCAGGGAACCATCATATACAATGTGACTAAAACTGAGGGTATGTTCAGTGCTGCCTATGAACTCAACTCACAACTGCTGCTTTCTTATTTTAATGTGGGATGGAAATCATGGACAAACTGCAAGATTGATAATTAAATTAATGTGAGAATACATCATTGATACTGAATTAATTTCATGTGTAAAACTGTCATATTGTGCATACATTTTCAAACAATAGAACCACAGGCCAAACTAGATTGCTTTTAATTATTGCCTTTATATCTATTACAGTAGTACCATTCCTTGCCAAAAGAGTAACTTCACTTTACATGTCAACTTTGGTTTTTCCGTAAAGGTATCTTGTTTCTTAAATCCATGATGGTTTTCACTATTTTGTTCTCATCCTATTAATTCAGGATCTAGTGTAGTGCCTGGCACATAGCAAACCTTTGGTGAATACTTGCTGAGTGAATAAATAAACCTAGTTTTTGATGTCCTTTCAAATTAATCTTTAAGGTTTTTAAGGGAAATTTGATATTCGTACTGATAGGCTGCTGTTATGAAAATTTGAAAATTTGATGTTTGATTTTGTTTCTGTTTCATTTTAATTAAAAAATTCAAACTACCCTTTAAAGCTGGATAATATAGTAAAATGATACAGGTTTATTTTTAAAAAGATCAGACAATAAAAGCATGGAGAAGAAAGTAAAACTTACCTGAAATCCTGCCACCTACCACACAAACCTACCATTAGCCTTCTAGTGCCGGACCTTTTATATATCCTCACTTCTTAGCCTTCTTCTTCGATGTTGTTTTGTATAGTTCTGGTCTGTATAGATTTAATGTGCTCACCATTTCTTCTTACACCTGGAATCATGACTCTATGATAATTTTCTTTCTTCCTGAGAGGTATTTTTTAATGTTTTTTTTTTTTTTTTAATTGATTTCTTTGGAGAGAGAGAGAGAGAGAGAACATCGATTGGCCGCCTCCTGCACGCCCCCCACCATGGATCGAGCCCACAACATGGGCATGTGCCCTGACTAGGAATCGAACTGGGATCTCTTAGTCCATGGGATGACACTCAATCACTGAAGCCACACACACCTGCCTTGTGAGAGAGATTTTTAAGACATTCCTCTAGTGAACATCTCTTGGTGGTAACCTCAGTTTTTGTGTACCTTTAAAGATCTCTGTTTTTGCCCTGACCCGTTTGACTCAGCGGTTAGAGCGTTGGCCTGCAGTCTGGAGAGACCCGGGTTCGGTTCCCTCTAAGGGCATGTACCTCGGTTGCAGTTTGGCCCTGGTTGGGTCGTGCGGGTGGCAACCACTTGATGTGTCCCTTTCACGTGGATGTTTCTCTCTCTCTCTTTCCCTCCCACTCTACCTGAACAAAATATTGAAAAATGTCCTCGGGTGAGGATAAAAAAAAAAAAAAAAAGATCTCTGTTTTTGAATGATAGATTACCCGAGTGTACAATTCTGGATTGTTTTTCCTGTATCAATCAGCTGTCTTTTGGTTTTGTTGTTGCTGCCATACTGTGTTGGCTGGTTGGCTGTAAATAAGGCTAATTGTTTTATTTTTGTAAATAGCCTGTTTTTTCTTTCTGGATGCTTTTAGTTTCTTTGGTGTTCTGCAGTTTCACTATGTCTGGGTATAATTTCTTTTTTCTCCTTTACTTTTATTCCTCTCTCCTCTCTTTCTACTTCATTCCCCTCCTCCCTCTGGTCTTCTTATTAGTTTATTCATTTCTATTGCTCAGTAGTATTTCAGTGTCTGGATATGCTACAGTTTGATTATCTATTCACCTTTGGCCACTCTAGGTATTTCCAGTTTGTGCTATCATGGATAAAGCTGCTATGAACATTTGTGAACAAGACTTTGTGTGATCTGTTTCATTTTATTGATGGA